AAATACCATCAATAGCAGGAGGGTTTACTTTTTAAACAGCCAAGAAATAGAAAAATTGTAAGTTTTTATATAAATTTGTACAAATATTGAGGTTATAGAAAAACTTTGTAACTGTCATAAAATGAAATATGCAACCATTATTGTTTTTGATTCTATCTAGTATGGCAAACTAGACAGATACTCTGAGAGGCCCTTTTGCTATAATGCAACTAGATCCTGGATAAAGTACAGCAAATGTAATGTTAATGCTTTACTTCCTTACATAAAAGTAAGTGTAATAACCAAGGCCCCCAAAACAAACAGTAGTTAAATAGTGAGTGAAACTGAAATGGGAAGTTAATAGAGCAAATGTAAAGTTTGGACTGGGGGCAGTGCTAAGGTTAGAGGACTGTCCCTAGGGTCTGAGGAAAGGTGACAACTGAACCTGAGACTCAGTCATTATGCTAAAGTCTTTGAAAGGAGGATAATGAAGTACCAAAGAAGTATGAACTCACAGTTAGAAAAGAAAAAACACTACCATACTAGAAAACAAACCACCATGAACTAGAATTAGTAGACACAACAACGTATTTTGCCCCTTTAAAGGTTCTTCAGATATTGGCATTAACAGACACAAATTCTAAAATTACATAAGAAATGTTAGAAAAAAATGGCAATGATGGTTAGAAAAAAAATGATCAGCTCTGTGTGAAAAAACTTTCAGAAATCATAAAGATAATAATTGAAATTGAAAGCTCAATGAATGGCTAAAATAGCAGATTAGCTATAACTGAGGAGAGAATGAATGAATTCAAAGACAGAGCTGAACAAACTTACCCAGAATGTTACACAGACATGAATATAGAAAATATGAAGGAGGGAGAGACTAGGAAAAATGGAAGGCAGTCAAAATTCAATGAGATAATATGTGCCAAACAATATCCAAACTGATGAAAAACAGGAAGCATAACTTCACCAAATAACTTCTCCAAATGGGATAAATAGAAAACTATATACAGACACACTGTAGTAAAATACAGGTCACCAGTCAATAAGAAGATAATAAAAGTAGTCAGAGAGAAAAAGCAGATCACCTACAGAGAAATAACAGTTAGTCACAAATCCTCAACAGCTGTGAGAGATGCCGAACAGTTGGGACAATATCTTTAAAGTGATGAGAGAAAATAACTGTCCCTAGAGTTAGTTACGCAGCAAAACTCTTTCCCAAATAGACGGGGAAAATAAAAAAATCATTTTCAGAGAGAAAAAAATGGAGGATACATCACCAACTTATATTAAAGCTGTTGCTTTAATAATAGTAATAATAATGATTACATAAATATTTAGTGCCAAAAGACAGCAAAAAATATTGGACCAGAGAAGCAAGTAATTGGGAGGAGAGTGATAGATGTTAATGTATTCTGTGTCCTGTGTATTGTTCAGGAAGGGGTTAGTTAATATATGAAACTTAATATATGACAGAGGAAAGGCAACATAAGTGGAGTAAGAATGTCTACCCATACGGGAAGAACCTGAAATTAGATGCTTACACCTCACAGCACAATTAAAAAAAACAAAGAAAAACAACTCTACATGGATTTAAAATATGAAAGGCACAATTTTAAAGAAAATATAGGAGACTAAAAGAAAAAAGTGCCAGCCATAAAAGAATAATTTTAAGTACATTAGAAATTAGAATTGGTAACTTCTGTTCATCTAATACACCATGAAGACAGTGAAAAGACATTCAGGAGAAGTATGCAATACATGTAACCTACAAAAAACGATTATTAGCCAAAATATCTAAAGTATTAACAACAAAATGCAAAAAGAAAACAATCTAACAGAAAAATAGACAAAAGCATGAATTGTCAGTCACATTACAGAATAGGAAACAAAATGGTGATTAAATTTATAAAAACATGCTCAGTCTAATTAGTACTCAAGGAAACACAAGACCACCAAGGTAGCTTCAATGATAGTGGTAATCTTCTAGTTCTGGGGTTGGGTGGTTGGTTCATAGGAATTAATGTTAATTGAATTTTCATGCTTCATAACATATATACATACATATCTCATAACCCCCCTCACACACACTCCCACACACCCTTCTTTCTCTCATTTCTCATCTCTTTCACTCCTCTCTCACACACCCATCTCTCGCATATACTTTTCTCTCTCCCTCATACCTCTGTCTCTCACACACATTTGTCTCACCTCTCTCTCATACGTGCACACATATACATATATCATATGTACAATGAAAAATTAAAACCATGTTTTTGAAGATTTCATGATGTGAAATCAAGGTACCCAGGTAATGTTATATGAAACTGCAACATATAAAACTGTGTGGTGATTAATAACCTGAGTTTGGAGTCAGAACATATTTTTTCTTAATTGAAAAGACTCAGTTTATTATTTGTAAAATGGGGTAACAATCTTCCTCAGAGGGGAGTGGAGAAAATTATGAGATAATATATACAAAACACTCCAAACAACACCTGGCACTGGTGTACAATAAATGGTAACTACTATTTGTAGTTTTCCTGCTTCTTTCCCTACAAACTTGCTTCATTTTTCTTTTATTTCTTATTTATCCTGTTACCCAAACCTAAACTTTGGAGTCATTCTTGACTACTCCTTGTTCTCTATAAACTCTTACTTGAACCAATTCCCTTTAATACCTAATTGAGTCTAAGTATCTTTGCACGGCATGTAGGCTCTCAATGACCTGGTCCCTACCTGTCTCTTGCCAGTCCCTGTCTTGTAGTTTTTACACCAATACCAAGCAGCTTGTATTCACCAGCATATATCACGTGTATCCTTAATGCTAATCTTATACAGCTGCAATTCCTAAGGCTGCCATGCCACCAAGGGAAAGATCTGGTTGCCCATGCTCACCTCAGAGTCCAGAAGGACTAACTCCATTTTCCTTACTTTCCTATTTATCTCAGTGTCCCAGAGAAGGATAAGCCTCTCTGGTTATTTATTTTTACCTAGCTTCAACATGTTGTTGGGTGCCATCGAGTGTAATTCATCGTAACCCCATGTGACAGTGTAGAACTGCCCCATAGGGTTTTCTAGGCTGTAATTGTTACAGAAGCAGAATCACCAGTCTCTCTCTCCCACAGCTGCTGTGTGAGTCTGAACCGCCACCCTTTCTCAGTTAGCAGCTGAGTGCTTAACTGTTGTGCACCAGGGCTCCTCAACCCTATACATGCTGTTCTGTATAACTTAATCTGATTCAGCGCCCCCACCCCATTACCTTTTTTTTTTTTTCTCCTCAAAACCCTTTCACTGGGCCCTCTGGAACTCTCACTCTATGATCAAACTCTTCTATATCCTCCTTAGGCTCTTTTCTCAAGTGGTAGCTGCCTTTTCACCTCTGAGAGCCTCAGGCCTAAGAGCTGAGATTTACCTCCTATTGTTTTTTGTTCCCTTTTGACTTTTCTCACCTTCATAAACTGCGGCACCTTTGAGACCCACTATAATCTGGCTCTACTCTCCTCCCCTACTGAGCTGTCATCTCCCTACACCTTCCCATTCAGTCAGGAATTTATAACTTCAGGATCGGGATCACGGTGCTCCTGTCCACCACAATGCCTAGTGACTTCAACGTTCACGTGAATAACCCACCAACTCTGATTTCTCAGTTCCCTATTGCCAATACCCTTCTCAGCCACTCTACCTTAGCTATCCACTCTCTTGGTCACATACTGGACTGTGTCATCACCAGAGATGGAGCCATATCTGGCATCTCAAGTTCAACCATTCCATTGTTTTACCACCATCTCTTGTATTTCCAATTCACTTGCCCCAGGCTGTCCTCTACCATAGAACTTACAGAAATCCTTCAGTCTATTGACCCCACCACCGAATCATTAACCATCAACCCTACCGCCTAGCTTTACTGTCCTCCTTATCCAGTCTAGACTTCCCTTATTTATTATTAGCCATCCCATGCAAATACCTTCAACTCTCTCCCACTATTTTTCTCAGTATACTTACTGTGGATGAACCCTGTCATTTGGCTTCTCTGGCTTGAGTTGCTGAATCTTGTCAGAGAACACTCATTACCACTGAGCTTACTAGTGTCTGTTTAAATTTATGACCATAAACCTCTAATGGGCATGCAGCAATCCACCTTTGTGTCTCTGGTAGGCTCACTTTTTCCCACACAGAGGTAAATTTTTCATACTTAGTCCTCTTTCTTTGAGTCTCCCTCACTCCTCTTCCTTCCCCTTTGCTTTCAGCTGATAACTCTGCACTGTTCTTCAGTGAAAATATAGATGTCACTGGACCTAAACTCCCTCATTTCCCATCACCAAACCAAAAACTTACCTACATCTGCACCTGTCTTTTCCTTTTTCCCTTCTGTTTATAAAGGAGGAGAGTTTCCCTCTTCCCCCAACAAGCCAAAACTTCCACTTGTGCCATGGGTTCCATCTCTGTCTTCCCAAAGTCATCAACTCGTTTGGTTATTTATCTCTCTGACCACTTCTTATGCCACTCTTCCCCTTACTCATTATGCTCTGGCAGCCTTTAGACCAAGCTCTTTCAAGTTTTTTGACATATAGGCTCTTGCAACCTGCAACACTCTTTCCTCCTTCCTTCTTATGGTTAGCTCTTATCTTTTAGGCATCAGCTTAAATATCAACCCCTCAGAAAGGCCTTCCTTTTTCTTTCTAATATTGATTCTAAATCCTCCTCTATTACCATATTTTCTATTTCAGCTTCTTGATTGCTTCCCTTATTCTATCTATAATAATTTAAAATTCTTATTTGTCTCTTCTAATGGTCTATTTTCTCCATTAGAATGTAAGTTCTGTGAAGCCAGGTATCATTTTGCTTACCATTTCTTCTCCAGAGCACACAGCACAGTGCTTTTTGCACATAGTTGGCACTAAAATAAATTTATTAAGTGATTTATTGAATGATTTTTTTGTCTTTTCCAAATTGATGATTTTACATCACTTGTATAGTTACTAGCCACCTTAATGATCAGACATCTCACTTACATGCCCACATGCTCGACAGTGATGCCTTCTCCTCGTCAGTGCATTGAAAGGCTCTTTGCATTTCATACACATTGTTACTTCATTATCTCGGATCCATCTGGGGGCTCTTTTCCCTAGCTCAGCAGTCTAAAAAGGAAAGAGAGACCCAATTTTACCAGAGAAAATTTTCATTCCTCTTATTTATTTTTTAAAAAGCACTTTAACAACATTGCTCATACTGTGTTCTGAAACTCAAGACCCATGTAAAGAAAAGTTTAAGCCATATGAAAAGGCACTCGCTATCATTTATCGAAGAAGGAATGAGATTCTATCTAAACAACCAGTTCTGGCATCTCAAAGGAAAAAAAGCTGGATAACAAATTGATTAGATAAATATTTTGCAACTGCAAAGAGATAAAAGAGCTTAAAGTTAAGAATTTAATTCAACTTACAGAAACCTCTGAGTGAATGTCATTATCCTTTGCAATTGCATTTCTGAAGGTTTCATGCCTTTGATGGAAAGCATCAATAGTCTCTTGAAGGGCCTAAAATAGAAATGAAATTCAAAGCAGACTTTAAAGTATCATATGCAAACTAATGAAAATACTTTATTAAACAAATATCTATGAGAACCACCTTAACAATTAAATGAACTTGTTCTGATGACTACATATTAAACCAACAACAATATGTGCATGTATGTGTGCACATACAGAGGTTACAAAAAAAATCAGGTTTACCTTGATCCATTCTTCTTTGTCTTGCTCAGAACTAAAAAAAAAAAAAAAAGTAAGCTTTAAAATGAATGCAGAGAACATTAACTGGTTATAACTGGTGAATGAAACTATGCTTTGATGTTGTTCCAACCTTCCAAAAAATTCAGGGATGTCCAGGAAGGAGTTACAATCAAAACTAAACAGAACCTCTAGCAATTGAACAATTCTTCTTAAAAAGTGTTTTAGACTGTCCACTTTCTTTGGTACACACAATTTTTGGTGGGTAGAGTTAAGTTTAGCTTCCATTAATATACTGCCCTGACATTAATAACAATCCTCTAGTATACATATATATAATATATACAGTATAATGTACATCTAGGTTTATACTAGATATAAACAACTAGTCTTTCAATTCACCTTTTCATAAGCACATGAAAGCTATTAAAAGCTACTAGTTACAGCCCATCTTAGAAAAGATTACAGTTATCCTCTGAGAATCTAAAGTATCTTTTTAAGGCCTTGGGGAGATATTTAATTTTTTTTTTTTTTTTTTACAAACAATTTAATTTTCCCATTGCTAAGAGGCTTCAGGCAATACCATACCTAACCCATTATGGATAAAGCAAAACATACAAAAAATTTTAATGTCCGCAGGAAGGAGATTTAACACATTAATGGACTCTATAGTTTTTAATAATTCTCCTTCGGGAAAAAAAAATTTCCTTGACTTCAGTTAAGTCCCCTGCTTCCCTGTTGAGGCAAATTTTCTTTAGTTCATCTTCTTTGCAGGTAGCTTATGTAGCTGTGACTGTCATATACCATATTTGAAAATTTTCCTTTAGTGGACTCTGGACTGGGTGAGATCTTCAAATGGAAGGAGTTTTTGAAGAGTGAGCTGTTTGCATATGTTTGGTAGGGTAGGACTAAGTTTGAGTTCCAGCCTGAGTATCACAGGCCTTGTTCCCACATGTGTAAAATATGCTTGAGTCTGGCTGGAGGTTTGCTCCTGTGACACCGTCCATGTTTCTAACAAATTTATTATTGAGCACCATGATGTGCCAAGAGTGGTTCTAGAGACTGTGCCTGCCAAAGGAAGACTCTGCTTATTTTCCACCTGGGGCTCCTTGGACCAGGAACCTGGGGGCTTCAATCATGGCCTCTGAAATGATTTTCTCCCTGCTGCCTTTTCCTGCCGCCACAAAATCAGCTCTAAAATAAGCTCTATTACCCTGGAAGTATAGTAATTTGCTAGCTGCTGCTAGCATTTTAAATGCATACGAAGAAATCTGAGAAGTTTTTAATGCCCTTTTGTTTTAGCTTTTTTAATTTACTTACTACTATACTTTTTATTTCTACTTAGCAATTTAAAATCATTGAATAAAAACTGTATAAAACAGAATAAGTGTTTTTTTTATTCTTTTGAATGTGGAAGAGGAAGCTTAATGTAAGAGATCAGTCTTGAAGCTGACTCAAAAGCTAATCTTAGCAAGAAAAGCAGAACCCTTTTTCCCCAGTTGACTTCAGAAGCAAATTAACTCCAAATATATACCCAATTTTTGGTTCCATGTAATCCTTCTGACATTCTGAGTTCCTAGGACCTTCAATGTTTGTTTCCATACTTGAGAGAGTCACGACAGACCATATTAATTAAGATCTTCACTATCATCGTATAATCATAAATATACTGGAGTAAGGAGATTACGGGAAATAAGACATTTGAGGAAAAATGACTGTTTCCAATACTAATTGGAATGTATCCAATACTGCGTATCAGAACCTTGCAAAGCAAGACCTGTGTATACTTAGGCTATTTTCTCTCCAGGATGGGGTTGTTTAGTGAGGAATTTTCCTAACTTGCTGGTAAGTGGCTAGAATCTCCCTAGCAATATCTCCCCTGCTGTTCAGACACATCTCCCAGGTTTGCAGATTTGGAAGTATGCTGAGATTTCTGAGCCAGCAGCACCTTTATCTTTCTGCAATGAGGACTTCTATGATGATCAGAACTATTGATGAGTACCCCCAGTTGTCAGGGCCAATAACTCAGTGAACCAGCCATTGAAGGTTAATCAGAGTGAGGACTCATGTTAGGAGCCTGCAGTGCATCATCATGCATTCTTCCCTTGGGTTGGAGTGAATTCCCCCCTCCCCGATGATGTGAGATAGGAAGACCATGATTCTGGCAAAAATAATTTATTCTCTTTTTAATTTAAAGTCTCGAGTTTAAGCCCTTAGGCGGTAACTTAAATACATACATCTAGGTTGGTTCACTTGAGCACCCAGAACCACATGCTGTAGGTGCAAAGGGACAAAGGCTCTCTGACTCTAAGGATCCTGGGGTTTCAGCACCATTAGAGCAGGGATCAGTGCTTAATCCTCTGATTTGTGACCTTCAGGAATATCCAAATTTTCATCATGATAGGCCGTTATAGGACACAAGGCTCCTAATCTACCCATTGAAATATCTTCTTAGCCGATATTTCCATACCTGACAACACTGATTGTCTTCCAGAGGTTCATGCATAAGGTAGTTATGCTCTAATGTAGTGGTTCACTTGTTTTTCTTTTTTCAACCATGATTATGCCGGAGAGATGATACCTGGAACTCCCTCCCTTCTCTCCCACTCAATAAAGCATTTAAGAATGCAAACAAAGAAGAGCCACTCCTTTCAGTAGTCCTGATTGCCAGAGGATGCCTGAGCTCCAAATGGCCCTTCCCACCCTGCCTCCTCCTGACATTTCTTTCCCTTAAAGCGCCACCAAGTCCTTTAAATGCAGAGCCTTGAAAGGAGTCATAGTTATGGCTCCAACATTTAGCATTGAACAGTAAGCAGTAGTAAACATCTGTAGACCAAAAAGAGGGATTTAAGGAAGGAAGGATTAGAACAAAACCTTTTCCTGCAAGTCTCAAAATTCTGGCTTGCTTCCAACTACTTGGTTCTCTGAGCACCTTGTAAATATGAAAATTCAATTCAATTTACTGAATGCTTACTGTCTGCAAAAAAACTACCATAGGCATTTGAGAGGAATCAAAAGAGAGGAAGATAAGATCCTTGACTTTCAAGAGCTCATGTCTCTCCATTTACCTCTAACCAGATTCCCAGAAAAACCCTCAGAACCATTCTATCCTCTGATTTATTCTGATGCTTTCAGAAAGCTGTGCAACAGGAATGATTCCCTTACCCAGCCTGCAGTTCCAGTGTTCTCTCTTTCCCAGATACCTGGAAAGTATGTGGATATTCTTCATTGTGAGTCTCTACAATCTTCATTCCATCGATGCCAACCTTAGTTCGAACTGTGAATTTAGAACCCACCAAGCTGAATCTGGGCACACAGTATAGCAACATGTTGTTGAACTGCAAAGAGGCAGAGCACACATAAACAGCAAAATAAAAGAGAAAAAAAGATCAATATTAAAAGTACCCTTGGACATAAATTCCAAGGAATTTTCAAGGAATATGGTACTTTATATTGAATTTATTATTCAGTACTACAATCAAGATTTTGCAACAGTTCCATTATGCTTGTATCAAAACCTACATTATGCAGATGACACAAACTTGCTTACTGAAAGTGAAGAGGACTTGAAGCACTTACTGATGAAGATCAAAGACTACAGCCTTCAGTATGGATTACACTTCAACATAAAGAAAACAAAAATCCTCACAACTGCACCAGTAAACATCATGATAAACGGAAAAGACTGAAGTTGTCAAGGATTTTGTTTTACTTGGATCCACAATCAACACCCATGGAAGCAGCAGTTAAGAAATCAAATGATGCATTGCATCGGGCAAATCTGCAAAAGACCTCTTTAAAGTGTTAAAAAGCGGAGATGTCACTTTAAGGACTAAGGTGTGCCTGACACAGCCATGGTATTTTCAGTCACCTCATATGCGTGCAAAAGCTGGGCAATGAATAAGGAAGACCGAAGAAGAATTGATGCCTTTGAATTACTGTATTGGTGAAAAATACTGAATATTCTTTGGACTGCCAAAAGAATGAACAAATCTGTCTTAGAAAAAGTACAGCCAGAATGCTCCTAGAAGCAAGGATAACGAGACTTCATCTCACATACTTTGGACATGTTATTGGGAGGGACAAGTCCCTGGAGAAGGACATCATGCTTGGTAAAGTACAGGGTCAGCAAAAAAGAGAAGACCCTCAACGAGATGGATTGACACAGTGGCTGCAACAATGGGCTCAAGCATAACAACGACTGTGAGGATGGTGCAGGACTGTGCGGTGTTTTGCTCTGTTGTACATAGGGTCGCTATGAGTTGGAACTGACTCGATGGCATCCAACAACAACAACAACATTCAAGATTTTACAACAGTTCCATTATGCTTGTATCAAAATCATTATATTCTTAAAATTTTAAACGTAAATTTCCCTTTGTTGGTTCTTGTACTATTTTATTGGAATTTAAGTAAACTAACCATCATTTTGTTCTATTGCTTTAAGAAAATTAGTTCAACTACATTCAGCAACAATTTATTAAAGACCTTCCATATACCAGTAACAGAAGTTCTCAACTTTGTAAGGTGAAGCCCTTAGACACCAAAATTTTAATTGTGTATCTTGTGAGAATAGTCTAAAATAGCCGTTAGAAGAAAAGAATAATATTTAGATAGTAGTTTTTACCAGAGTGTTTAATGTTGTTGAAAAAAAAATCACCAAATTATTAGTTCACATTTCATTATAATATGTGGGGTTAGGACACTAGAACCTAGGTAAAAAGTAAGGCACATGGCCAAGATCAGCAAAGTACTATTTAGCAGGCAGACTCTGAGGCCAGACTATAAGCGTTCAGGACCCCACACTCTACTTCTTATGAGTTGTGTAACCTCTTGTGCTTCGGGATCATTATGTGTAAGAGTCACAGGTTGTTGAGACGATTAAATGAGGAAACAAACATGAAGTGTTTAGAACAGTGCTTTGCATGTATTAAGTGCTTAAATTCAACCAGGTCTTCTAATTTTACTTTCTCTGGGATCTGAGTACAGACCTGTCCTGCCAGGCCCTCTGTTCAGCCCCACACTTCTATGAAGTGTCAGTGGATATTTAAAATATTCCAACATGTTTATGTGACACTGTTTGCTTGTGTTCATTCTGAAAGCAAAGTTCTCACCAGTTGTTTTTTGTACATCATTTTGTAACTTCCTGTAACCAGTGTTATAAATTTCAGTTCCACATTGGATAATGTAGAAATAAAAGGACACTACAGTTTATCATGTATATCCCAGTATCACACTTCACATGTACATTTCTGGAAGAATGGAAGAGGACGTTAATGACTTACATCTTACATTAACCAGCCACTGTATTCTAAGTGTGTGTCACTCACAACCTCATTGTAGTATATAGGATTTAGAGATTTGAAAAAACTCTGGAAAGTTCTCAACACCAACCTTATTGCTTGATTAAAGCAATAGCTTCCTTGCTAAGTTTTCATGCTAACATTTCTTTCTCTCTTCTATCAAGGCCTTCTTAGGAGGGATTCGGTCAAGGTTGGGACTGCTAAAAGAGCTGCAGAGTGACCATCACAGTGGACAGCACTTACACTATCAAGCCATGAAAAATAACCAAATTGGTTCATTGCTTCTGCAGACTAAGTGACAAGTGTAATGTCATGGTATAAAATTCTGAGTTATCCAATGCTGTACACCTGTTCCTCACTCATCGACTATCTCTTTATCTGACATTTCACATTTACAACAGTAGTAAAAAAATCTACTATCCAGCTATTTTGTGCATTAATGACGTACGTCTGATAGTGATGAACGCCAAAGTGCAAGACAAGAGTAACACTGGCTATGATGGTTAAGGTTATGTGTCATCTTGGCTGGGCCAGGATTCTCGGTGGTTTGGCAGTTGTGTAATGACAAGGTCATCTTCCATTTTGTGATCTGATGTGGTCATCCTCCATTTTTGCATAACACCAATTTTTGCATAATGACCTGGTCTTTGGACCCTAACTATGTGGATAAGTGAGGAGTGGGTGTATTCAAATTGTCTTTATAAAGTTCAGCAAAGTCTTGTTATATTATTGAAACACAAGTCCACGAACGTAGAGGTTCTTAGCATTTGCCTTTTGTAGTATGTCCATACAAGATGACAGACCACCTTATAAATAGGTATGTTTCTCTTCCCTTCTCATGCTCTCAGGACTACATTCCCCCATTATATTCTTTCTAAGTTGGACTTCGCATTCTAAATGGTTAATAACTATATGTTAATCTTATATAACTCCAATCACAATTTAATACTAGTCAATAAATACCCTTTTTCTTTTTCCTAGAGGTGAGGGTGAGACCTTTTGCAGATATAAAATGTTGCTTGCAAAGAAGTAGATGCCATATACATGAAGGAATTACGTAGCTAGCCCTGTTCCCTCCATAAACTGTTCCTGTAGCAAAAGCCACCATCACCTTCCACATAAAAAATTACTTCTCTTTGGGTTTCCCCTAGTACTTAAAGAAGAAGTTATAGCAACTGTAGCATGAAGTAGACCTACTTTCCCTTTCAGTGTAGGAGATTTCCTTTTATTCCCTGCCCAGAGTTCAGAAGTAATTATCGACAAAGCAATCTCTTACTGGCAAACAAATTTCTAGAAGTCCCAGATTGTGACAAAACTTAGAAAAGCAAGTCTCAACTTTATTAAAAACTTAGGGAAGTTCCCCTTCCTTAATCTCTGGTGTTCCTCAACTATTTATTTCAAGTCTCTTAAAATATATTTATTTGATTGAAATAATTCAATTACATGTTTTCACCAGTGACAATTTCATTAAAACTTGTTTTAGAATAGTATATTGTTGGAGAAAATTTCCAATGCCTTATCTGTGTTCAAAGTTTAGATTAAGTCAAGAAAAAGAAACAAAAATTGTATATGTCAAGTGACAAGGAAATAAGGAATAAAACACCTCCAAAAGGTCAATGATAAACACTCTGGGGTCACTCTAATGGAATAATTTGGTGATTCTTTTTTTTTTTTTTTAACTTTCAGATGTCAGGTATGGTTATTTAGAGTTCACAGAGTACCCTACGTTAATACAAAAAAGTGAAAAAGTACGGTATGAAGGCAAGCAAATACATGAAAATCATTTGAAAGCTGAAGTCAGATTCTAAATATAATTTTGCCTTTCAGACAAATATTCTCAGAATATAAAATAGAAAAATAGCCCACATCTTCTTTCTAGAGAGAGAAGAAAATTAAAAAATGGTACTTCTGAAGTTTTTTCATAGAAAAAGACACAAGAAGCTCAATGGGAATAAAAGTATGCAGGAGAGAAGAGAGATTCTGTGACAAGTATAGTCCCAAAGATGTAAGATTAAAAAGAATGAACACAACACAGGAAATGCTTCTGAGATGGTCTTTAAAAGCTGCATGTGGCTTTCCAAAAATTCTTGCCATGTGACTGCATTCTCGTGGGAGGTACTGGCATGATACGTTTGATAGCTTATAACTGGAACAAGATGGGTCCTTTCCTCAAAGTCACTATTGCTGTATTCCCCCAAGGTGCTTTGCCATTTGTCTTCCAAGTAGCTGCTTAATTTAGCTCTGTATCAAGCTATTCAACCTGAAACTATTTCCAGAATAATTCTCAAATGTGAAAAATAAACCAAGATAATTGGTTAGACACAGAGCTAAAAGTTTAACTATAGAAACTGTAACACTGAGGAAGAAGGGAAAGGAAAGTAAACCCGGTACCTAAAGGTAGGGTGTAGCCAAGGGGAAGACATTGACTTCCAGGGATTTTGCTCAGAATAAACTAGAGCTCTGAAGCCTGACAAGACTGCATATAAAAAGTCCTTGGTTTATATTAAGCTCTTTGTACAATCTGTGAAAGGTGAAATAATTCTATTTAGCTCAAATGAGGATTTTTATAGTTAATTTGGATAATATTATAAACATTCTTTTTTTTATTGTTGTGATATGATTCACAGACCATAAAACGCATCTATTAAAGTGCTGTTGAGTTTATTCCAACTCATAGTGACTCTCTAGGACACAGTAGAACTTCCCTATAAGATTTTCAAGGCTGAAGTCTTCATGGAAGTAGACTGTCACATCTTCTTCCTGTGGAGCAGCTAGTGGGTTCGAAGTGCCAACCTTTCAGTTAGCAGCTGAGCGCTTAACCACAGTGCCACCAGGGCTCCTTTTTGAAGTGCACAACTCATGGCATTTAGTACAATCATAAGTTGTGCAATCATCACCACTATCTAATTCCAGAACATTTTCATTACCCCCAAAAGAAACTTCCATACTCACTTCCCCCATCCACACCAACCCGAGGCACCCCAGTAATCTACTTTCTGTCTTTATGCATTTGCCTATTTTGGACATTTCATATAAATGGAGTCATTCAATATGTAGTCTTTTATGACTGGCTTCTGTCACTTAGCATAATGTTTTCAAGGTTCATCTACGTGTCCATGATTTAGCATGAATCAGTACTTCATTGCTTTTTATTGCTATATAATATTCCATTGTATGGATATACCACATTTTGATTATCCATTAATCAGTTAATGGACATTTCGGTTTTCTGCAATTTTGGGCTATTATGAATAATGCTGCTGTGAACATTCATGTACAAGCTTTTGTGTGGACAGATGTTTTCAATTCTCTTGTGTTCAAGTCTCTTGGATTATACAACCTAGGAGGGGAATTGCTGGGTCATATGGTAACCAAATGTTCTTTAAAAAACAACAACAACACAACAGACACTGAACATTCCTCTGCATGAAAATTAGTTCCTGTAAGTTTTCCTTTCAAGAATGGCCGGAATCAGAAGACAGAAACCTCTGGGCTTCCAACAGCAACTCATACTGTGCTGGTAAAATGACTTACCAGATGTAAATAACAGCCTGTGAATGTATTGGTGCCAGTCACTGGGCAGTTTCTTTACCAATGTGCCTCTGTTTCTTTTTCTATAATAACAATTATAGTAACAACTAATGTTTATTGCGTTCTTACTCAATGTTAGCTATCATGACTATCATCTCATTAGATATAGAAACAAACTGGAATTCATTAGGATAACAACGAATAAAGGCCATATGAACAGAGACTTAATAATAGCCTGGATGCCCTGGCAAGAGCTCTTATACTTGAGATAAACCCCAAATTAACTGTAATTGCAAGAAATTTAAGAAGACAAGAAGTGCCTGCAGAGAGCAGGACACATGAAAAATAACTATGTAGCGAGCTCATGTACTTTCCTTATAGATATTTTAGACACAAGTCTTTCAATCTTGCCATTTCTTCAACCTAGAAAGATGAGATGAGAAGTAGTGATTAGATAGGGTTAGGAGGAAAACAAGGGGCTCTGGTTGCCCAACGGTTAAGCACTAGGCTGTTAAATGGAAGGTTTGGTAGTTTGAACCCATCCAGTGGCTTTGCCAGAGAAAGACCTGGCGATCTGCTTCTGAAAGGTTACAGCCTAGGAAACCCTATGGGGCAGTTCTGCTCTGTCACATGGGGTCACTATGAGTTGAAAATCGACTTGATGGTACTCAACAAAAATGACAAGGAGGAGAACTGATGTCAGGAAATAGTATGTGGCCAGAACATCCAGGAAATGGTATGCATTAGCCTGTCAGAATGAAAAGAAAGAGAAAATCTGAAACAAGCGAAAGGAAGATTTCAGAAAGCGTATCATACCCCACATACATACTGATGGCTACGATCATCATAAAAAGGTTCAACTGTCTTCAGTATATAGTATTGAAATAAATTACACAAGTTGCACAGAAAAATTATACAAAAGTACTTAAAAAAAGATTTTGGTCCTAGAAAGAACAAGTTTCAGTTACTTAGAACATTCATTTATATGAAATACTGACATTGTTGACTAAACCAGGTTATACGTAATTACTTTGGTGAGTAAACAAGCATCCTTCTTTTCCAAGATACAACAACGTTTATGAATTAGTCTTATGGGACTTTGCTAACATTAAAATAGAAACAAAAAAAAACAAACCCGTTGCTGTCGATTCCGACTCATAGTGACCCTATACAACAGAGTAGAACTGCTCCATAGGGTTTCCAAGGAGTGCCTGGTGGATTCGAACTGCCCACCTTTTGGTTAGGAGCCAAACTCTTAACCACTATGCCACCAGCATTTCCCAAATTAAAATACTCACTAAGAAAAGGTAGCGTTCTTGCGCTGATGTGTTCCGAGCAGCTAGTTTGAGGATCTGTCCTTCTTTTATTAGTTCATTTGAAGGATTTACAATGTCTTCCTCTTCTCCTAACATTTCATAAATCTCTAAGAGCTTCTTTAGGTTCTCCTAGGAAATTAAAACAAGACATAACAGGATCAAATATAAGAAGGTTTCAACTTAGTAGCTTTACTATGACCTTACCTAAAATTGGGCTCATTAGAAGGGATTGGGAATAAGCATGAATACTTGTATAAAATACATCAGTTATCAGCAAAATGAAACCTTGGAGAAGAAGGGAGAGGATTATTCCAGATAACAGTAAACATTTTATGAACATTCTTTTTTGTTCCCCTATGTCAATTCACTTTGATCTAAACCTACAGAAAACAGGAGTCTATGTTACTGACAATTATCTAACCAGTAGGTTCCTGTCTCCTCTGAAACCACTTACCATTTTTCTTATTGCACTATTAGAATGGCTTGCTGCAGTAGATATAATTTCAAGTGATTCTAAATGGGAAAAAAAGAAAAGTAAATAAATATGCTTTGTCCCTACTACACTACTAGATAGTTGAATAACATATACACTAAAATAGGAAGAAATCTGAGACCAAAGACATACGATAAAAGTAGGGGCAATTAATATTTACAAACTGATTACTTTTAGGAGTTCATATGAAAGCAGATTATTTGGAACTTGAAGCATATTTCCTCATAAGAAGTCATACATGATTATTAGGCTCATGGGTATATTTAATCCATAACATACCTTCAAAATCAATACATATTTACCGTGCACACTAAGTGAAAAGCACTTTCCCAGGTGCTTTCATATATATGATATCAATTATACACAACCTTAAATGGCAAGTATATCAGCTCCATTTGGCAGAGGAAGGACATGGAGAGGTGATGTGACTTGGCTAAGTTCACACAAATAGAATATTGTAGTGTTTGGAATTGAATCTAAGTCTTCTGACTCAAAGTTCTACAACATTTCAGCAATAGCATTTTACTAGTTTTAGGAGCAAACTACCTACCAACTTTCTCTGGGAAAATGCCCTTACAGTTCTAGCCTCAGTCAGGTGAAAGGGAATCTTCTGATGCTAGTGTTGATGGAGGGTTTTTTGCTAGAGCATGTGGTGGTGAGAGATGAGAATGGGAACTCTTTGGTAAGGGCAGGGTAGAAGCTCCAGGGACTGCTGAAGAGCTGTGGAAGCTGGGGCCTCCTGCTGGATCAACCCCAGGGCATACCTCTCAATCCTAAATCATGTACTGTTCTCTTGCTTTCTTTTCTGTCTTGTGAATACTGGCCTGCTTAATTCTGTTACCACAACACCACATCACTTCTGGACCAAATTTTGTGTTTTCTTTGTTCCACTGATAAACATAATGCACACTGTGTGTGTGTACACACATATGCATACACATATATAAATATCTGCCATTTCAACATTTTTTTTACATGCACAATTCAGTGACATTAATTATGGTCATCATGCTGCAGAATGTCCTTTTTTTTTGCTTTCCCCTACCCCCACTCTTGGTTCTCTAAAAGGCTTTCTTTTGTGATTTCCTTAGAATTTTTGTATAAGTAGCAATGGGAAATCAAAAAGAAATAAAATTCCTTACTATATCACCAGCTTTCTCATTTTTGGCGTAGGCACTAAAGGAAGTCAAAGTATTTCAGTGTAGAAGAAACTAAAATTTTATCTACATTTTGGAGAACTATCCTGATTTTAGTAATTCTGTGCATTTGATACAGGACCCAGGGTAGAGGGAGACACATAAGATGGCCTGGAGAACAGCAGTGGCAATTCCACCTCCAATCCCACCACTAGTTCTGCCACTAAAACCAAGCACTTGGGCCAGAAAAGTACAAAGTGGGGGCTAGGGGAAGATGGCAAGTCAGGGTAATTCTAAACTGTCTATGGAAAGAGGGGAGAAGTTCCTATGGTCATCAAGTTGCTTGAATGATGGGATATCAAAGACGGCCTGTGTTCAAGAAAAGATTCAGGATCTAAGACCAAGATTGTGTTTTGTGTTCCTCATCTCTTAACAAGGTTCACGTATTTCATAATAGAAAATAAATTATGGGAAGTAGCAATATTTTAAGATTATGCACCAGTATTGTTAGTACTTGTAGATTATCAAGCCATTTCTATTTCTTAAATTTTCATTCATTCCTTCAAAGTTAATTGATTTTAAAAGAGCATAAAAAAGTTAAAGTATTATTGAAACTCCTGAGCTTTAAAAAAGCATTTTTATTCTGATCTAATAAAAAAATAAAAGACAACTAACAGAACGGGAGTAAAGTTTTCGTAGGGAAAATGTTATCTAAGAAGCACCATTTTCCCTTCTGGTAGTGGTGAGGTGGATGGAGTCAATTTTGCTTAGGTTATTTTTACATAGTAAATGTCATCTTAGCTCTCTTGGTATTCATCAACCTATGTAATTAACCCAGCAGCACTAGTAATTCTGAATGGCTGTATTCTTCCTGTGAGAAGGTAACTGTGTACTGCTATTCCAGATGTCTCTAAGACTATAGTTTATTTCCAAGTTAACTATTAATGTGAAACCAGAATGAGAAAAGTGATTTGCATTGCTTTAAATTTGTGATTTTGGCTCAAAAGTGACTGGCCTAACTGATAATGATTTGCAGTGATATTATTTTCTGGCAGCAATATTTTACTGAAGTGGTTGTAAAGTCATATCTCACTTTGGAATCACTAGGCTGCTTGGCCACTTGCTTATCCCATACTGGGGAAAAAAGAAAAACAAAAGCCAAAACATTTACTTTTAGCATCATTCCAGTCCAGGGAGTCAGGCGGCAATTTTCTTAGATAATCCTTAAGGAGAAGCTCATACCGGGGTATTCGCTGAACAGGTTCTAGCATATGATGCTGCAAAGTCAAACTCCCACAGATTTTCTGTTTCTGCAACAAGAAAAGATTTTATAGAAACATTTAAAAATTAGGTTAGGCAGTCTAAAAACTCACCAAAAGGCAGAACTTTCATCAAGGGCAGTATTTTCCTACAAAGTGTGGTCTGTGGATCATTTGCATTAGATATATCTGGGGTGCTGTTAAAAATGCAGATCTCTGAACCCGGCCCCAGTCTAGTAAATCACAATCTTCGGAGATGAGGCCTGAGAATATACATTTAACAACACCCAAGATTCTTATAACATTAAAGCTTGAAGACCACTAGTCTAATGTTAGAAAAGAAGACCAAGCAGAATTTTAAATAAGAAAATTCCAGATTGCTGGCAACTACTTCAATCAGTCAAAACAAGGGTTTGTGAAAGTCACATTATTCAATCATACACCAAATATTTTCAAAAAAGAAGCAACTACTTAATGAGGTTCACTAAGCAGAACTATATTAAATGACTTTGGCCTGAGCAGAAACTATTTCACAATGAGGTTACCATAAATATCATTTCCTTTGAATTTAACCATATAGAAGAATGACAAGATCTGGTCATCTAACTATGTATCAGAAAATTTTTATATTTCATTAGGTCAAGGCATTCTTTTCATTTGAAACCAAACTCTGTAAATAGTTCTCCTTTCGTTTGGGCAAAATTGAGTCTATAGCACTTGCTTTCAATAAACTGTTAACGTAAGAGAGGGAAAAGATTATTTGAAAAATAAGATGTGTTCTTGTTCATATTAAACAAAGAATAAATCCCATTACATATTGTCATGGATTGAATTATGTCCTCCAAAAAATGTATCAGTTTGGCTGGGTCATGATTCCCAGTATTGTATGATTGTGTACCATTTTGTAATCTGATGTGATTTCCTTACGTGTTGTAAACTCTATCACTATGATGTAATAACATGGATTAGTGGCAGTCATACTGAAGAGGTCTACAAGATTGGATAGTGTCTTAAGCCAATCTCTTGTGAGATATAAAAGAGAGAAGCAAGCAGAGACACATGGGAACCTCATACCACCAAGAAAGCTGTGCTGGGAGCAGAGTGTATCCTTTGGACCTGAGGTTCCTGCGCAGAGAAGCTCCCAGACCAAGGGAAGATTGATGACACAGACCTTCCTCCAGAGCTGACAGAGAAAGCCTTCCCCTTGAGCTGACACCCTGAATTTGGACTTGTAGCCTACCGGACTGTGAGAGAATAAACTTCTCTTTGTTAAAGACATCAACTTGTGACATTTCTGTTATAGCATCACTAGATGACTAAGACACATATTTACTGAACTCATATCATGAACAAGGCATTGCAGGGTATATAACAGTTATATTATACCATTTAAAGCAAACAAGTAACTAAATGCTTCACAGAGAAGGAAGCATTTAACACTACCTCTGCTGGGTGCAGGCTTTGGTGGGTTAAGAAGTGAGGAAGAGCAGGGACAAGTCCCTATGGAGGGAATGTGAGAACATAGGCATGAAACTGAACGGTTGGGTTTTGTTGAAAAATAAGATGTTTATAGAAGAGAGGATAAGGAAGAACACATAATCTGGCATAATAATGTCAAGGGCCTTGAGTGCTAGGCTTAGCTGAGTTTAGATTTGCTTCATCCAATGCAGGTTTTTGTTCAGGGGAGTAATATCATTAGAGCTGAGCTCTATTAAGATTAACGTTACTGCAATGTGGCTTTAGAGGGATGTGGGGAAACAAGTTTAGAACTTATTATTGTAAATCAAAAAAAAATAATAGGGACCTGAAAACAGCATGGAAGCTGAGGGAATAATAGTTTCCATATAAAGTATAAAATATTAATTTTAGAAGTTTAATTATCTCACTTGATTTTCTACAACTAACCTGTCATATATACTAACACATCCAGGAAAATATTACTAACTTCAAGATTTTTACATGAAGAAACTGTAGCTCAGAGAATTTAGGGGAGTTTTCTAAGGTCAAGTGGCTGTAAGTGACAGACTAGGATTCTAAACCAGGTTATTTGAGTCCCAATCCACCACTCTTTTCACAACCCTGTATCATTTCCTCATAATATGCAGAAGATGGACATTGATGAGACAGAATTTTAAGATTTGATAAAACAACAACTATACCAACACCACAATTATTTAGTGATTACTTACTATGCAACAAGCACTAGGCTAAGCACCTTGAATACATTACCTAACAGGCAAATGAATGCATATAGAGAAGGAGGAAAAGATAAAGCCAAGCTGTGAAACTCTGGTGAATTAGAGAATAATCGTGGCATCTAGTAAATTCAGTCACCTGTCAAAATATTATCTACACTGTGCAAGGCACAAAATAAGTAAGACGGAAGAAATGTTTGGGAGCTAAAGATATAAATGGAACATGTTGACTTTGTTTTGATAAAAAGGTGTCCATAAAGAATTGTATGGCCAGCATTTAGTAATCTGTGACTGGAGTTTGGGGTTAGAAGACTAGACTAGAAATACAGATCCTGGAGGCATCTGTATATACATAATGGTTAAAGATATAGGGAAATGTGATGTCACTGAGAGTGTCCAGAGAAAGAAAATTGTGGAGGACCAACCTTGTGCTCTGCTCATATTTCAGTTAGCAGAAAGGACTGGTGGTGAAAGCATCAAAGAAGGAGCCAAGGTTCAGAAAGGTAGATGAGTGCTTAATCATACAAGAAAAGAGATTTTCCAGAAAGGAGTGAGGGAAAGAGGCAAGACTTCTGGCTATGGCTGAGTGAAGAGAATGGGAAATCCTTCCTGTAAAAACAACTATAAAGCTGGACAAAATTGATAAAACCACCATTTCACCATGTAGAAAACTGACTGAAGGCCTACAATAACCTGAAGTGTTTATGTTTTTAAAATTTCTGAACTTTGGGTAAGAACAGTGAGAATCTGTGGCATTATGGCCTGGGTTGCTCCCAACCATCCCCCCACTCAGTCAACATAAAGGTTTTGCTGGCTTGGGACAAGCTGAGCCTGGCAACTTTTCTGCTAAAGTTGAAGAGGGATCATTTGATTTGGAGTGATGGGAGGTATTTAACACCCAGCAACACTGTCAATGGAAATGAAGATCTCTGAGGTGGGTGAGTGGGGAGGGCAAGGGCCTGAGGTTGTGGTTATGGGTAGGGTAATCATATTCTCGCTGAGGCTATTTGAATGCACAGCAGAGAATGGAGAGCCAACACACCTTCCTGGCAGAACCTGAGGCTGTATACCTGCAAATAGGAGATGTGAAAGAGTCCAGCAGTCCTGAAAATGTCCTGAACCTTAAATGTGCTGCCCTACCCATAGACAGGGCCATCAGCAGAGGTCAGAAGTCTTACTGGCTTCCAGATAGTTGACCACAGCTTCTGTCCAATAACTAGTTGACCACTAATCTATACAGATATAGGGACAATCCCTAGAAAGTCAGACTTACAAATAAAAACAAGAATATTAAACAGAAAAACTGAGCAGAAGCATGAGTGACTATATACCATAGGGGAGATAGATTTAAAAGATTTAATTCAAGCAAGTTGCTAAACAAAGAAACAAAAAGTAACAACAACCACTTTCGGGGGAAGGGTGAATTAGAATCCAAAGATTATCTAAAATCTATCTGCAATAGATTATCTAAAATGTCTGATAATCAGTAAAATATTACGAGACATACAAAGAGATAGGAAAGTATGAGATATACTGAAGAAAAAAGGAAGTTAACAGACATTGTCTCTGAGTGTCCTCAGGTGTTAGACTTAGCAGACAAAGACTTCAGAGTAGAAACTTGTGGGATAACATCAAGAATACCAACATGGATAAAAGGGCAAGATACAACTTTATGATAGCTACAAACGATATGCCTTAGGTTAAGAAATACAAATAAGTAGAAAGAAAAAGGATGAAAAAGTAAACTATGCAAACAGTAACTATAAGAGAGCTGAAATGACTATATTAATATCAGATAAAATATACTTAAAATATTGCTAGAGACAAAGAAGAGCATTTCATAATAATAAGAGGGTCCCTAGGGAGATAAAACAATTATAAATGCATATACACCTAACAGCGCCTAAAAATAGATGAAGAAAAACTGACAAAATTGAAAGGAGAAACAGACAATTCAACAATACTATCTGGAGATTTCAAGAGCCCTTTCTCAGTAATTGACAGAACAACTAGACAGAAAACAAGCAGCGAGACAGAGGACTTGAACAACCCTAGCAATCAACTTGACCTAGGTGATATAAACAGAACATTCAACAACTGCAGAATACACATTATCTTCCAAGCACACATGGCATACTCCCCAGGATAGATTGTATACTATGCCATAAAACAAGCCTTAATAAATTTGAAATGACTGAAATCATACAAATACATTCTCCAACCACAAGAGAATTAGAAAACCAACGGAATAGAACTGGAAAATTCCCAAATATTTGAAAATTAAACAACACACAACTAAATAATCCATGGGTCAAAGAAGAATTCACAAAGGAAATTAGAAAATGTTTTGAACTGAATGAAAACAAAACATATAAAAATTTATGCAGCACAGCTAAAACAATGCTTAGAGGGAAATTTATAGCTTTAAATACCTTTATCAGAAAACAAGAAATGTCTCAAGAAAATATTCTAAGCCTCGACCTTAAGAAAACTAGGAAAAAGAACAAACAGCCCAGAGTAAGTAGAAGGAAGGAGTGAAGGGGGGAGTAGTACATCAGTGTCAGATACTGAAGGAGAGTTTAGGAAGGATGAGGTTTTAAGAATACCAATAGATTCAGAGTTTAGGAGGTCACAGCGACCAGCAAGATGGGTTGGCAGCAGAAACTCACATTTACAAAGTGCCTCTCTGGCACCAAGTGCTGTACTAATGCTTTACCTAGTTTCTTTTATTTAATCTTTACAAAAGTCACAAGAAACCCAGAAAGGACTACAATAAAGTTAAGGATGACGAAGAAGTATATTTATTATGAGCCTCCAGTTTCCTTTTTTTAAGTTAAGATAACTTTTTAAAAAAAATCACATGAAAGATTAAAGGCTATGAAAGTTAAGATTAGTCTGTAGGGAAGTTATTGCCTGGAACACAACTGTTCATTATAGCTTTTTTTCATTATTTTTATTTAATTAGAATACAAGCTTTATGTCGTAAGAGAAATGTAAACTAGTAGATAATATTATAGTCCCAAACTGATCCAAACTGGTTGTTAAGAATTACTCTAAGAAGCAGTAGAAGATAGTCACTGTAAGTGGGGTGGGGCAGAAATTTAAGAACGGAAGTAAAATTAAGTTAACCCATTCTAAAGATTCACTTGGGGAAAAATATGTGAAAAAAAGGGAAAATGTCATTGTTACTCCTTGCCCCAGGAATCTTATGTGATCTAAAGAATTCCTTCTTAATATTTAAATTGTATCAAAGAATAAGTTATTAACAATGTTGACTAGAGAATCAAATGAAAATTACTATGGTATTATAAAAATGTAGTATGTAGGTTTGGTGAAATAGAAAAAAATCAGGATACAGATATAAGGTGACAAGAAACTGAATGATGATGTTTCCAAAGTCTCAGGGTTTATAGCAATCATTCTTTATATTTCTTCTAACATTTCAGCTTCTGAAAGGACACATGAGAGGCACAGACCTGAATGAACTCTCTCTGTAAATCTGTGTGGGCCCAGATAAAGCCAGCCTCTGCCGATCTCCAGAGCAAATGGAAAACTCATTGCTTAGTAAATGGCATGTGCTCAGTAATATTTATTATACTGAACTCTTTATTTAATTTTGCAGAGATGATTTTTGCATACTTCAAAATAAGATTTGGCTAGATAGCTCACACAGCTCTCTAGGTTGAAATCTTAGATCTAGAAGACCTTATAATTTATATGAAAAAATTAATTTATATCCTTGACCAAAACAATCCCATTACCTGAATTTCTTCAACCACCAATTTGAATTGGGGGATACGCTCTGTCATGTTTTTAACCAATTCCATTGCATTGTCATATCCCTTCACATACTCTCCATACATCTTAAGGAAAGGCGCCAATTTCTGAAGGATATCACCAATTCTAGGGGTGGTTTCCCTGTATAAAATATAGAAACAGGTGGGTCATTAAGATCTCTTATAGAATGAGCGAATTAACAGCACTCCAGAGAAGTTATCACTCTCTACACACACACTGTGCTTTATCAGACCCACTTTATTAGATGACTGGGAGAGAATTAAGAAACACATTTTTAAGGGTGTTTAGGAATGATAGGAGCCCTGGTGGCAGTGGTTAAGACCTTGGCTGCTAACCAAAATGTTGGCAGTTTGAATCTACCAGCCGCTCCTTGGAAACCATATGGAGCAGTTCTACTCTGTCCTATAGGGTCGCTCTGAGTCGGAATCGACTAGACAGCAATGGGTTTATTTGTTTATTTGTTTTTTTTTTTTAGGAATGATATAGTAAAGAGAGATGCTATGGAATTCTTGAATCTTCAAATTACTACCGATATCTCCACTAGTCAAAAAATAGCTTGGAGAGAAGAAATAAAATCTTTTCCAGCTAAAGCTGAAAATGTATCACAATATCTATCAATAGTCTTTAACATAAACATTTAGCACAAATGTCTGGCTACAGCTCTGTGCAGCTTTTCTAGTTCAGTTTAAAAGCTGAGAAATACAGCATCTTATATGGCTGCCTTACATATATCATTTGCTGTCTGCTCCTCTTACCATTCTTGCATTCGTTTCTCCAGCTCTGGCAATAGGAATTTACTATGGAAGGCATTTATTGATGAGATATTAGAAAAGATTTTATTCACCATCTCTGCTGGAAATGAGCCTCTGTTTGCTTCTTCCAATAGTTTGCAATAAAATACCTGAATAAGAGAATAGCAAACATTACAGCAAATTTATAGGTTAACCACCTATCACCATGCTAGGCACATAGTGGGCTCTTAGTAACTTTTTGTTCAATAAATGGAGAAGTTCCTGGTTAAGAAATCAATCGTTACTTGAAATGTAGGAGTATATGCTCTGATTTAGAAGAAAGAACCAAGAATAAGAATTAGGAGACCCTGATTCTAATCTAGGCTATGCCCCATCTGTGGGATGTTAAGGCAAATGATTGACCTTTTTCTGTAGCAAAAAAGTTTTGAGGTTAATAGGATTTGCCCTTCCTATCCATAGCATAGAGTTAAGAGCTGTGGAAACACTTATCTAAACAAAATAATTGAGGTATTTTTCACTCCTCTTTAGTGCTCTGAAAGCACCCCTGGGTTGTACAAACAGCTACTGTGCTCAGCTGTTAACCAAAATGTTAGCTGTTCTAGTCCACTCAGAGGCACCCTGGAAGAAAAACCTGGCGATCTACTTCTAAAAAATCAGCCACTGAAAACCGTATGGAGCAAAGTTCTACTTTGACACACATGGGGTTTCCTTGATTTGGAATTAACTCAATGGCAACTGGTTTTGTTTTTGGTACTCTGAATGACTCTTGTTGCCTTTAATTATAGCTTATTGACACAAATTTTTTTTTTCCTATTAAGGATGTGTAAGCTCCTTGAGGAAAGGAGATATTATGATTTTTTTTGTTTTGTTTAAATTGTGCTTTAGGTAAAGGTTCATAGCACAAATTAGTTTCTTGTTAAAAATTTTATACACAAGTTGTTTTATGACATTGGTTGCCATCCCACATTGTGTCAGCACTCTCCCTTTCCCTTTCCACCCAGGGTTCCCCATGTCCATTCATCAAGTTTTCATGTCCCTTCTCACTTTTGCTTTTGGGCAGGTGTTGCCCATTTGGTCTCATATACTTGACTGAACAAAGAAGCATGTTCCTCATGTGTGTTATTGTTTGTTTTATACACCTGTCTAATCCTTGGCTGACGGGTGAACTTCAGAAGCAGCTTCAGTTCTGAGTTAGCAGGGTGTCCGCGGGGGCCACAGTCCTGGGGGTTCCTCCAGTCTATGTCTGGTCTTTTTTGTGTGTGTGAATTTGAATTTTGTTCTACATTTTTCTCCTGCTCTGTCTGGGGCACTCTATTGTGATCCCTGTCAGAGGGGTTGGTGATGGTAGCCAGGCACCATCTAGTTCTGGGCTCAGGCTGGTGGAGGCTGAGATATTATGATTTAATTCCCAAAATAGAGCAGGTGTTTAATAAATATCTGGTCAATGAATGAACAAAAAAAATTACAGTTTCCAAAGGTTTACTTGCTTTTTAGTAAATAATAATCCATGATAATTTAAAACACTGATATGAGGCCCCCCCCCCAAAAAAAAAATTTCCTGTACCTTAAACATTTAAAAAAAAAAGCAGTCTTAGCTATACTCCACTAGGGCTACTATACCTCTTAATTGCCATTCTGTTAAATGTAGACAGAAGGAGGTCTGTTCCTTCATAATGTCCAGATGGTTGTTAATTTTCTAAATTCACCTCTACTGCATTTTCTTGGGAGGCAAAAGAACACAAAATTATGTCCTTAGAGACTCCAATAGATGGATACTGTAGCAATTAAGACTCAAATTCTAAAAGGTCAGCAACAGTAGCTGACCAGCTAAAACAACAAAAAAAGGCAAAACAAAACAAAAACCAACTTGTTGATAAGAGAAGACACATCTCCACTAAGGGCAAAGGTCAAAGTTTCAGGTCTGTAATCTCCATGAGAAGAAAAATTGTTTCAAAGAAGCAAACTCCACATGAATTGACTGACGTGAAATTCTTTAAAAAGTGACTCTGTGTCACAAACTTATCATTTCAAAGAACACAAACCTTAATCCAGCCCTTCAAGGCTCACCCTAGAGGTATGCAGTTCACTCTAGTAACAAATGATTGAAGGACCACTCGCTCTCATGAAGCTCCAATGTTCCAGTGGCAAAAGAGGTACAATTCTGTTTACAGCTAACACTCACACTTGGCAGCTTTCTCTTCTAGTAAGTGGAATCTGTGTTAACAGACAATCTACTAATCATCCTGTTCTTATACTTATCACTGACATAGGATTAAAATTACTTAGTTTTCAATTGTGACTCTTATGATACATTTAAAAACTTTCCAAATGTGTATTTGAAATGATAGTTGAGGCTCTCCACCATGATGAAAGCACAAAATACTGACTGGGCACTTTACACCAGGCACTATATTAAGAGCTTCATATGAGGTTGAACAAGTGAACTTGTAAAATCCTTTCTGGTACTATGAACAGTAAAGGAGACCAAAGAACCAGTGATATATTCATATTAATGTTAGAAACACCAACCTCTTATTTAGATTACAATGGTAACATGGCCCCTAGGATTATAATAAAGGGTCAAGACACAGACTAGTGTTTAATGCTGAGGGACACAGGTTACAAGCCATTTTGTGACTGGTACTCAGAGAAATCTCTGCTCTTTATGAATTACAAACCTTTATACCTAGTGAATACACTGTTGAAGCTGAAAGTGCCAGAGATTTCCTTGAGGAAGTAGCTTTTATTAGACAAAAAGTCAGGCCCTTCTTGCAGTTTCTAAAACACTTTAATTACTAAGTTAAAATGATACGCAATGCTAAAAAATAATTCTGAAAGGGAAAAGTATTACCTGATCTAATAGGTCAAGTCGGTTGACATAGGCTCTTTCTGTAAGTAAAAGTTCATTGGCTATTTTGTGAAGTTTTTGCTCATTAGTCTCCTAAAATAGAACACATATTCACATGTTAGGAAAGAAAGCTTGAACAGTATTTCTCAAGTAATAAACATCTCTTCAAACAGTTTGATCAAAACAGTTTCTCAAGCTTCTTGGGTACCCAACTCCTATCAGCCATCAAAGCACTTCCAACCAGAAATGAAATGAAAAAAATTAGAAATGAGAAATCTCTAACTTCTTCTTTGATCTCTATAGCAGTTAACACTATTATCCACCTTTTCCTTGAAACATTTTTTTTTAAGTTCCTGAACACTATATTTCCTCGCTTTTTCCCACCTGTCTCAGGCTACTCTTCAAACTTGATTTTCTCTCTCTCTGATACATCTCATCTTATTAGCTCTATGCCATAACTCCCCCATTTTAAAACATTTTATTATAGAAAAATTTCAATCATATATAACAGTAGAGAAATAGTAAAATGAATCCCATGTGCCCATCACTGAGATTCAACAACTATCAACCAATTGTTAATCTTGTTTCATCTATACCTCCACTCATGTTACTTTGAATTAAATCCCAAACATTTTATTTACATATTTATCTGTATCACTTTTAAGTATGTTTTTATAACCCTGTTAGCTCCATAAGGATAAGAACATTCTTCCCTTGTTAACTACTCAATCTGCTCTGTCTACTACAATGCCTCAATATTGACATTCAATAAAATATTGTTGAATGCATGAATTGATGAATCGCAGTCTCACATATCTAACTATTGCTTAACATTTATTACCATTTTCGCACACTGTCAACATAAGACCAAACTCATCTTTCCTGCAAAACCTCCACCTCCCTCCCTCGACTTTCCAATCCTGGTGAAGTTTCTATCGCTTTCTAGTTATTTGCTTTGGAATCTTGAATCAATTTAAGCTTAGTTTCATACCATAAAATTCTGCCAGCTACCAAGTCCTACACATCATATCTTTAGCATTCATCCTTTAAGTTCTTATCACTGCCACCCTGTTTTGCTCAAATCATCTCGAGCCTGGACCAATCAATAGTTACCAACTGATCTCCCTGACTCCAGTATTTTCTGGCTGTAACCTGCCTTACATATTGCTGCATGAAGAATCTTTCTAAAGCTCTGCTTTGCACAGATTATTCTACTCCTAGAAATGAAAACCTTCAATAGTTTCCCTGGTATTGACAGGATAAAGTCCAGACTCTATGTAGCATTCAGAGTTGTTCTAACCTTGTCTCTACTCATTTTCTCAATCTACACCCTTATTATATCTTTACAGGCACCTTTCCTCCAAACTGATCTGTCTACCATTATTCCAACATGCCCCTGGCCATCCCCAAACCTTTCTTCTTTCCATCCTCCCTGCCTGGCATATGCTCTTGCTGTATCTCTCTAGGTGTCTAAGACTTACTTTTCTTTTGATGGCCTGCTGAATATCCATTCCTTCTCCAAATAGCCTTCTTCAACTATGCAAAGCCCTTGGCCTTGCTTATTTCTATTAGAAAGCATTTTATAGTTCATATCTGAATTTTTTTACTGAGAAATTTCTTTCTGGTGACTTTCTCGAAATACCCTTTTCACTCTAGGAGAGTATGAAGCAATAATATAGGTTTGGTAAAAAAAAAAACAAAAACAAAAAAAACTCTACTAGCAAAGTCAACACAAAGTATATTTTAAATCAGCATATAATTTGCGTAAATGCTAATTTAAACTAAATAAAATGCTGTTGAGCTGCATGAATGCTTTACTGTGTTCCACACATATAAGACACACAAGCAGTATCTGTTCTAACATGGAAAGTTACCATTTTGCTTCTAACAGCAGCACTAGAATGAGTTATGTAAAATCTTTATATCAAGTAATATAATAATGTTTAAATAATTTGTGGTCTAAGCAATATTGGAATAAGAACATGTCGTCATCAAATTCCACAACTAGTCAGTTTTGGTTTAGCTTAATAAACTCAGGGTAAAGTACTGGTATTGTTGGTTGCCTACCTGGCATCTTTTCCCCCATTTCTTAACAAGTCTCTAGGTTTGGTTGGTGTATCTACCCCACCACTATACAGGCATTTCCTTTGGGGAACCTGACCTCATCCCCGTTTCAAAAAGGGGGCTCTGAATGGTATAAGTTATCCGAGTAACCATCTCCCTTGCCACAGTGACTGGTTCAGGAAAGATCATAACCCAACAAGAGCCAAGGAGTCATGAGAGAATACACACTGCGGCTTCTGCAAAAGGAGGCCCCCCCTAGTCACAGGAAAAGAGCTCTCTGATGTTCCATATGAAGAGGGGTACATGTAAGCTTGAGTGCTACGTGCGGCCATCCCACAACCACAGAGTGAAGCTGAGACACGGAGAGTCAATAAAATTCCTAATTGATATAGAAAAATACTATGAAGCATATGCAGTATATTCCGTGAAATTGAAAACCTTTTAAGTAATTTTGAGATTTAAAAATACTACTTAGAGGAGAAAGAGGTAAAAGTTAAATACTTAGTGAAATAAAAATGTGATTATCAAACCTGTAACAACTGAACACAAACACTTAAAAAATATGTAAGGAATCTATTAACATTTCAGTGGAAGATAATAGTGATATGCTGTCCTTTATACTCAATACTGACCTGCAACAACACTGCAAGCACTTAATTTTTTTGGTTGCTTTGTTTGTTTTTGTTTTTTTTAAGGTAGATTTATTGAGGTGTAGTTTACAAACAGTAGAATTTACCTTTCTGGTGTACAGTTCTAAGAGTTTTGACAAATGCTTTCAATTGCATAACTACCACCATAATCAAGATGTAGAACATTTCCATCATGCCCAGAGACTTTCCTTGTGCCCCTTTGAAGCCAAACTCACCCCAATCTCACTACCAACTTGTGGTAACCACTGATCCATCTTCTGCTCCACAGTTTTACCTTTTCCAGAATGTCATGTACATAGATTTATACAGTACGTGCCTTTTGATTTTGACTTATTTCACTTAGCCAAATGTACCTGAGATTCATCCACGTTGTTATCAGTATCATCATTTGTTCCTTTCAAGCCCTTAGTTTTATTCTCCTAGTGTATCTTTTTAGCTCACTCATGCTCTTTTACATGTTCTGATTCTAGTTCCCACAAATATATTTTCAGAAAATAAACCAGCAGAACTTGTGCCATGATGAAATAATACATCTTTAATGAGTCAGAGAATTTGTTAATCAGTAGGTCATGCAGTCAGTTATTGCTATGCAGTGAAGTCACCCCTGAGGTCTTCCACAATCCTCCAGGATCTAAAGATAAAGCTTATAAGCAACAATATTTTGCTGACTGCAAAGCATGTTTTAGCTGAACTTGGCAAATTGTGGATATCCTGGTCACATCTTGCAAAATCCAAGAGGGATGCCAGAAGTTATTAGCAAAAGCTATGTTCGTCCACACAGATGGTCTTTTGCACATTAGGTCCTTGACCTTGCCAAGGCCAACACAAGATAAGCAAAGGTAAGCCTGCTGACATACAAAGGTTTAATCATTCAGTTACACATAGTTTTGGAGAAAAGTTACTGCAGATTTTATAGTAGATTATGAGGAATCATGAACATATGGAGCTTTGCTTTACATTACTACTGGTAGCATAATAAGAACAGCTAACACTTGTTCACTGATTGCTTATTATGTGCTAGACACTGTTTCAAATATTTTACATAAATTGACTAATTTAATCCTTATAACAAGTTTATGAAATAGGTACTATTATTATCCCTATTCTTCAGACAAGATACACACAACAAAACAATATCCCAAGGCTCAGAGAGACTAGGTAACTTGTCCAAGACCATACAGTTAGAAGGTAACTAGATCAGATTCAAATCCTGTAGAAGAGTACGTGATTTTACATAGCTATTGAGTAAATAGTTTCACTCTTATTCTTACTCTTCTTTGCAGTAAAAGCCACGACTGTGATATGTGCCTATAAGTAGGTGGACTGACAAAGTACACATTATCTGCTTACAAAATTTAAAGCAGCAGACTTTTCATCAATTTAGCAATAATTATCAGTTGTATAAAATTTAGACATTTTGACGTGATAATGGCTCCCAACTCAAAAGTTATTAGAAATCATCTATGAGCTACATTTAAGGAGAAATAAATGCTTTATCTCACACATGGGGGCTCTGCTACCATATTAGAACTAGGTTTAAATAATTTACAAAGTAGTTTTAAAATTGCTGGATACATTGGGGCAATAGCCTAATTTAAAAAAAAAGAAGAAGAAAATGTTTCCTACTATTTGCCACTTCAAAACTATATAACCACTGCTTTGTGTCTAGCACTTTACTAAGAAGTCATTTACTTTTGCGATCCTTTGGAAAGCAGTAATGGTTACATGATATTGATTTACACAAATAATTTTATTTTCTGCTACTGGAGGCTAATAAACAGGCTTGACTTTTCAAAATAATTATACAACTGAGCTATTTAAAAAGCGTTTGATATCCTGCTTTAAATAAAGGGGTGAACTTTTTAAACCTGCAAATATATGATACTGTACACATATATGATATATTGTGGCTGATTCCTAACGTATAGCCTTAAAACAGAAACATATTAGAGAATAATTACACTACAATAATCGAAAAAGTAAGATAGACTCTTTTTACAATAATGGATTATACAATTTACTTTTCTCTTTCGGCTTAGTGCACTTCCTAGGTTATTCCTGTGTACCTCACACCTCCAGGAGCCCTATACTAGAGACCTGCTTCTTTCCGTCTAGGGTTAGGTTCGGCCTGGCTGTTATTCATTGTACCCGCTGGCTCATGAACGCACTGCTGTGTGACAGTTCTGCCTCCTCATTTGCAGATGTCACCAGCTCCTGCAGCTCTTTTCAGGCTTTTTGGCTTGACTCTTCCATATGGCAGGAGGCTGGACAAACAGCCCCCACTGCAGCTCAGAGTTCATTAACTAGACAGGCAGAAAATGCTTTGTGGGGCCAGCAATTCATTCTTCAAAATCTTAATGTCATATCCTGGTCACATGC